AATGATACAACTTAAAATATTCTCAATTACAAATATTTTGAAGTGACAGACATACTCTGACGTTCAAATTGTGCAAACTGACATACTTTCAAGTCCAGATAGCATAACATAAAATACTCTCAATTACAAATATTTTGAAGTGACATACTCTCAAGGCCAAATAATTCAAGCTGAAATTCTCTCAAATTCAAATAATCTAAACTGAAATACTCTCAAGTCCAAATATTGAGAAGTGACATACTCACAAGTCTAAATAACCTAAGCTGGAGTACACTCAAGTTCAACTAACCTAAACTGAATTACTCTCAAGTAATTGAAATCTCTCAAGAAATTGAAATTCTCTCAAGTCCAAATTATCTGAACTGAAATTCTCTTAAGTCCAAATAACCTAAATTGAAATTCTCTCAAGTCCAAATTATCTGAGCTGAAATTCTCTCAAGTCCAAATAATCTGAACTGAAATTCTCTCAGGTCCAAATAACCTAAATTGAAATTCTCTCAAATCCAAATTATCTGAGCTGAAATCTCTCAAGTCCAAATAATCTGAGTTGAAATACTCCAGAGTCCAAATATTCTAAAGTGACATACTCTCAAGTCCTAATAATCTAACCTAAATTACTCCCAACCCTAAATAACCTAACCTAAAATACTGTGAATACCAAATAACCTAACTTAAATTACATCCAACCCCAAATAACCTAACCTAAATTACTTCCAATCCCAAATAACCTAACCTAAACTACTCCCACCCCAAATAACCTAACCTAAACTACTCCCACCCCAAGTAACCTAACCTAAATTATTCCCAACCCTAAATAACCTAAACTCAAACCCCCTAAATTTTAATACCAAAATTTCCATAACTCCACATTCACTAAAACATCAACATACTCTACCCTATAATTTCATTAAAACACTCTCAACATTTCTCGACATTTTCGAATCTTCCTAAGTACGAACCTTTCGAATGTTCATCAATAGATCCATTCATCGCGAAGTTCTTTTTTACATCCGATATCGATCTGGCAACATAGATTAAAATCTCGCGAATGTTTCATTTCCTGAGCACCTCAGGTATATTTACGTCCTTCCGGCGACAGGGAAACTTGAATCGTGAAAAAGTTTTGTTGGAAGGATGGCGACAATGTTGTATAGTACTTTCAGCACGATGCTTATCTTGGCGCGAAGAAGTAAAATCGCTTTTCAATGGAAAATACTTGAAATTCTTTTCCCGTGCTATTTACTGTAATTGACGACATGGGACATTGTGTAGCTAGCCTTTATGCTCGAGCTGTTGATCTGTTCTTTCATCTGAACTTGAATTTGTAATTTATGAGGATGTAATTCTTTACTGTGAAACGTTACTTTTTTATATATTTTGCAACGTTTAAATATTTTAAAACTAATATAGGATATTGGAGATAGAGTGTTGTACTTGAATTTGGAGCATTTGGAACTTAGAGTTCTCAAGTTTTATGTATTTAAAATTTACAGTATGTCAACCTTAAAGTTCTCAAGTTTTATGTATTTAAAATTTACAGTATGTCAACCTTAGAGTTCTCAAGTTTTATGTATTTAAAATTTACAGTATGTCAACCTTAAAGTTTTCAAGTTTTATGTATTTAAAATTTAGAGTATGTCGACCTTAGAGTATTACAGCTTTGTGTACTCAAAATTTGGAGTATTTAAGATTTGGATATCAAATCTCAGAATAATTGAATTTTTATCACTAATGTTTGAAAATTCAGAGTTCAGAGTATTACAATTTTAAAGACTCAAAGTCTGAAACGTTCAAGTCTGAGTATTTATTGTTTACGATTGAGGGTATGTGAGATGTATTGGAAATGTATCAAAGCGATAAAATTTATGTTTGCGTTTGAATGTCCAATCAGAATTGGAGTTTGCGCGCTGGCCAGTGGTCAGCCAGAGCTCCGCCCAGAAAGAATCGAACGGTGTCCGCGCACCCATGAAAACATGGAAAAAAGAAGAACAAGAACATTCATAAGCAGGAACCGCAGCCTCAAACAAACTTTCGAAACAAAATAGTCGGAAAGAGGGGAAAAGAAAACGATAAACTTCGCGAAGTTACTTCCATTAGATAAAAGAAAGAAACTGAAAACGAACAAAAGCGATAATTTAAACGAATTTATTGCGCTATGGTGTACATTTATTTGCGCGAACTGTGGTGTTGTTTTTTTTGTAGGATTATTAGAATTAATGGCGGTAAACGTTAAGGCAATACCAGTTTTATTTATTATGTTCTATTATTATGTTGTTTTGATGATTTTACGATTTTAATTTGATGGTTTATGATTTTGTTATTACACTGTTTTGCTGTTTTATTATTTTATTATTTTAGGGTTTTATTGTTTTATTATTTTGCTAGTTTGCTATTTTACTATTTTATTATTTTACTGTTTCACTGTTTTACTATTTTACTGTTTTACTGTTTTACTATTTCACAGTTTTACTATTTTACTGTTTTACTATTTTACTAGTTTACTATTTTACTATTTCACAGTTTTACTATTTTACTGTTTTACTATTTCACTGTTTTACTATTTCACTGTTTCACTATTTTACTATTTAACTATTTAATTATTTTGCTATTTTACTATTTCAATATTTTAATATTTTACTATTTCACTACTTTAGTATTTTATTATTTTGCTATTTTTTTCTTTTGTTACTTTACTATTTTTTTCTACTTTGTCATTTTACTATTTTGCTATTTTGCTATTTTACTATTTTATTATTTTAATATTTTGCTATTTTACTGTTTTACTATTTTACTATTTTGCTATTTTTCTAATTTGCTACTTTTCTATTTTACCACTTCACTGTACTATCTTCCAATTTTCCTACTTTACTCTCCTCATACTATATCATTTTAATAATTCCACTATTTTATTATTCTACTGCTCTATCACTTAACCACTCAACCTCTTTATTGTCCTAATATCATATGACCTTCATAATTCTTCTATTTTACTCCCATAAAAATGCATTACTTTCATAACTTTACTATTGTACCTAATCACTGATCTCCCATAGTACTATTTCAATATATTGCCATTGTACTTCTATTAGTCAACAGTATAATCTATGATCAGTATCAAGTTCAACATAACATTTCCCCAAACAAAAAAAATATATTAAATAAATCCACATCCAAAAGAACCATAGAAAACAAGAGTCGAACCTCTCTCTCATTTTTACTACTCTCCATCCCCTACACTAGTTGTCTCTCGTGAGAGAGATCGATGTATGAAACTGCTGCCAATCTCTATGTTAATGGAGAGTATAAGCAGAAGACAGGAGAGAGCGAGAGGAATTCTGTCAGCGGTTCTACTGGAGGACACTTAAAAGTGAATTGTTACGTCTGCGGCTGACCCCCGGGACCTTAGACCCTCGAATGACGGTGAATTATAAGAGTCGAGTAGAAGGAAATTAGATCTCTATATCAGAACGTACGTTTTCCTCGGTCTAACCAAATTTCCAACTAACCTAACCCCACCTAACCTCCTCGGCGACGCGCGAACCACCGAAAGCTCACGATTCACGATGCCCGCTCGCGGATGTATTTGCGTGAACGCGATTTAATTATGAAACGCGATTAGCAACGTGCTGCCGTTTCGCGTTTGCGGAAACGTTTAAGACGCCTTTGAGTTATTGCTTCTTGGCTGTCTTGCGTGGACGAATTTATTGAACTGGGTTTTTAGTATTTTGTTAATTGTTTTAATTATTTTGGGAGGGGGGGAGAATTATGACCTTGCAAGTTTTTTTTAGGGTATAACATTTTTTGTGCATTTTGGGGATTTTAGGGAAGAAATTTATTGTGAAGGTGATTCTGTTATTCGTTTATGAATTTTAAAATTTTAGGGGGGTGGAAGAGACAATTATGACAGTACGAGTTATTTTTTTTATTTTATTATATTGGCATTTATTTAGAAATTTTTTAATTTTTTTGGGAGGGTGGAAAGTCACTTATGTGGCTTACGAATGTGATACTTTTATATTATAACATTGTTTAATTATGAATTTTATAATTTTTTTGGGATGCTGAAGAAGATTATGACCTTACAAATTTTTTATATTATGAAATTGTTTTATACATTTCGAAATTTTTGAGGATTTAAGAATGTGATTTATTATGCTACAAGTGTAGTCGTATAATACTATTTCTAGTCCATAAAACTTAAAATTCTTCAAAATAGTAAAAAAGGTATTGTTGCGCCACCAAATTACGAGGTTATGTCAAACACGTGTGGAACTGACCAAACACACAAAATTTCGTAGGTGGGCTCCAAAAGAAAAGAACTTTGAAGTGTTGTCCTGAAGTGTCTACAGTTTTGGTCCATTCTTAAGGGGTCTGTTTAGTCTCTGAAACATGTGGCTAACAAGACGTTAAAACTGGACACTTAGTGAACTGTCGTAAAGAGTAAAACACTAAACCAAACATTTTTCATATGGAAGAACTCCTTTCAATCTTCGTTTACATCTTGCTGCAATACTTGATTTTTAACATAACCTAAAATCTACACATGATATGAACAACATTATAACTTTTGTTGCGCTGTTTTATAAGTTTAATATGGATGATATATCTATAGAGAGGAGACTGTAATTTTTATTATAAATTTATGAACTATCACTCTCATTACACTTGTGATAGTAATAATATTGCTATACCTATAATATTGCCATAGTAATAATAATATAAAATTGCCATACTAACAGTATAAAATACCTCAAACATAAAATAATGCAAAATAATATACCATTAACCCCCATATTTGACCAAAAACCAAATGTACTCACTACACTTGCTATAGTAATAATATTGCTATACCAATAATATTACTATAATAATAACAATAAAAGTAATAATAATATAGGATTGCTATAATAATAATATAAAATACCTTAAATATAAAATAATAAAAAATAATATACCATCGACCCCCATATCTAACCAAAAACCAAACGTTCTGTTTACAGCGGAAACCTCGCAAGGCACCACATCACCAGACACCGTCCAATGCGGGGGTTGCAGGGTGTCGTACCCCCTTGGCGAGATCGTACGGTTCATCGAGCACAAGGTGAACCACTGTCGCAGCACTCTTCAGGGTTGCCACAGTCCACCGGCGACAGCGGCGCCGGAAGACTCAGACCCTGAGGACGCGCTCGCGTTGAAAACCGTCGATCAGGACTCGAAGCTGAATTCGGTGCCCAGTATTTCGGCGCCCATTAATAAAAGAGGTGGAGGTAGACTCGAAAGTCCTCCGACGCCTCAGGGTTCGGGTCCGGATACCGGAAGTCCCATCGAGCTCAAGGCTAGCGCCAGCTCGACACCTAAGCGACGAACGGAACCTTCCGAAGAGGATAAAGAAGATCTTCCGAAGAAGCCCAAGACCGAGTCCGTCGATGCTGATACCAACACTGTCAATTCTGGTGAGTTTATTTTTATGTTTCTTTGTTATTTTTATATTCAAACCCATTTTTCGTTGTTAATGACTATTTATGATTAAAGAAGTTGGAGGTGTTAGGTATTGTTAATGACTTTATTTATAATTAAAGAAGTTGGAATTAGGTACTGTATGTCGTATAGCAGTATTCTATTTATGAGATAAGTTTGTGTAGGTGAGCTATTATATAACTGTCATGTAACAGTACTCTAGTTATCATAGGACAAGTTTGAGTAGGTTAGATACTATATGGCTGTCACATAACAGTACTCTAGTGATCATATGACAAGTTTAATTGAGTAGGTTAGATACTATATGGCTGTCACATAACAGTACTCTAGTTATCATATGTCAAGTTTGAGTAGATTGGATACTATACATATGGCTGTCACATAACAGTACTCTAGTTATCATATGACAAGTTTGAGTAGGTTAGATACTATATGGCGGTTATATAACAGTACTTTATTTATCATATGACTAGTTTGAGTAGATTGGATACTATATATATGGCTGTCATGTAACAGTACTCTAGTTATGATATGACCAGTTTGAGTAGGTTAAATACTATATGGCTGTCATATAACAGTACTCTATTTATCATATGACAAGTTTGAGTAGATTAGATACTATACATATAGCTGTCATATAACTGTACTCTGGTTATCATATGACAAGTTTGAGTAGGTTAAATACCATATGTATGTCTGTCATATAACAGTATTCTATTTATCATATGACAAGTTCGAGTAGGTTAGCTATATGTCTGTCATATAACAGTACTCTCTATCATACCACAAGTTTGCATAGGTTAAATTCAATATGACTGTCGTACAACAGTATTCTAGTTAGCATATGATAAATTCGTATGAAGCATACATGTAGATACTTATACAGTAGAGTATCTCTTAAGGACATCGTATGTTGAACTTGATGTATATTTACAAAATGGAACATGGTCTAAATGGGTACCATGAATATTCTGCAATTAATTAGGACAATTAAGTGATGCTTCAGTAGGAGACATATGTAGATACTTATATAATAGAATATTTATTATGAATCTTAATTTGAGTTTCATGTAGAGTTACAAAATAGAACCTGTTCTAAATAGACCTTATGAATATTTTGCAATTAATTTGAAGACTAATGTAGAACATATTATAGAAATCATATGTAGATACTTGTACAATAGAATATTTTTTAAAGTCACTCTAAATTAAATTTGATATATAATTACAAAATGAGAGACGTTCTAAATGAGCTTCATGTAGAGTTACAAAATAGAACCTGTTTTAAATGAACCTCATGAATATGTTGCAATTAATTTGAAGGCTAATGTAGAATGTACTATATGGGACTCATATGTAGATTCTTGTACAATAGAATATTTTTTAAACTCACTCTAAATTAAATTTGATACGTAATATACAAAATGAGATAGTTTGTCAATGAGTACCCTTGAAGTACACCGCATCCAATAAGTTGGCAGTCAAAAGCAATACTGATCATACTACTCCAGCTGCCAACTTATCAGACATAAATATTCCATATATACGTACGTTCCCTGGAATATTACACAATGGAAAGTCGTTTGTCGTGAAGTGGTTTAGATCATTCTAAACTGATACGGAAATCGAGTTAACATTGGTTGGTAATACTGAACGAACTAAAAGCCGATGCACGTGTTACCAAAGAGGCCTCGTGATGTTTTCACATATTCCGCTACAAGTTAGGTCTTTCGAGTCAAGGTAATCTCTATAAATAAAGCACATGTGTTCCGGCAACAAATACCGCCACTTTCATATGGGTTTCTAATCACTGTGACGAACCATGAAACCTTGTTTTGTTCACATTCCACCCTGTCAATTAAAATGGAACATGGAAAGGAATTATGACCTTTCTGTTAATCTTATTCGATGAACCTAATTAATTGTTTCATAAATTTCATTGTTCGGTGTTGTCATAAGTGAAATATTTAATTATTGTAGTGTTATATCAATTTTTATGTTTAAAACGCTGATTCATGATTTTCAGAATAAAATTATTTTATTTTGTTTTCAAATCAATTTATTAATATTTGAGTCAAATAAAATTGACACTATTTTTTAAATTATTCTAATAAAATAAAATTCTAGAATTATTTACAAAAATGGTTTCATCAAATGAAATTATTGAAGCTATTCTTAAATATGATTTTAATTTACTTATTTATTTATTTATGAAATCACCTAAAATAATTAAAAACAGAGATTAACATTTCATATAAAATAAGCGATTAGAAACCAATATAAAATTACAAGTCTAGTCTAATAAAATCTAGTGCAAAGTTGTCAACCGTCAAACACTATCATCTGCGTCGAAAATCGAGCTCAGAGGGTGAGAAAAAAGAAAGAAATGGAAAAAGGGAGCTTTAAAATACAGTTACAGTTTCCATGTGATGTCGATCGTGGTTCAACGAGCACGAACAATACTGTGGTAGATTCGATTTTTGAATTTAAAGAGCCTGCTCGGGGATTGGGGTGAACCTGCCCCCATAACCACCACCCCTAGCGACCCCCTTATTTTGATCGTATGCCACATTGTCGCTTGTCGAAGCCTCCATGTTCTAGTTTATCACGAAAAGTCGATTACTTTTATTTTTTATATCTTTTTATTGCTATTCTCAAATTTTTAAACTTTTGAAAATTTTTGGGTGTTGAAATTTTTCAATTTTTTAGGGTTGCAAGTTCTCAAATTTTCAAGTCTTCAAATCCCCCAAATTTTTAGGGTTGCAGATTCTCAAATCCCCAAATTCTCAAGTTACCAAGTTCTGAAACCCCCAAATTCCAAATTCCAATTTTCCTAAATTTCAATTTTCCCAAATTCCAATTTTTCTCAAATTTCAATTTTCCCAAGTTCCAATTTTTCCCAAATTTCAATTTTCCCAAATTCCAATTTTTCCCAAATTTCAATTTTCCTAAATTCCAATTTTCCCAAATTCCAATTTTCCCAAATTCAAATTTTCTCAAATTCCAATTTTCCCAAATTCCAATTTCCCCAAATTCCAATTTTCTCTAATTCCCACATTTGCAAATTCTCTCCAAATTCCCAAATCTCTAAATCCCCCAACTTTGGAATTTTCTGAATTTTTAAATTTCCAAACTATCAACCCCCCAATCTCTAAATTTCCAAAAATCCGAATACCGAAACTTTGTAATCTCCAAATCCCTAGGTCCCCAAATTCCAAAATTGACAAATTCCCAAATTCTCAAATTTCCAATCCAAAAATTCCCAAAATCCCAAATTCCCAAATTCCCAAAATTCCCAAAATCCCAAATTTCCAAATTCCTAAAACCCCTTAAAATCCTCTCCCAAAACCCCATCCTCTGCAACATAACAAACACCTCCCACTCGTCTTCACTCAACATTTCCACAATCATCCCGATATAAAATGCAGCTTTAATTTCGCACTCGTTGGTCAACGAAACACCACACGATCGTTGTTTCTCGCTCCGGTTAAATTGAAAGAAACGGCGACGGCATCAAACGAAATTCATGCGAAATTCATCACCCTTGATGAATCTAAAGCACTGCCTTTGAGATTCTTAGCTCGACGCTTACCTGCGGCCGCCTACTTTGCATCGCAGAGAAAAACACGAATAGACAGACGATGAAGGTGTAACTGGAAAATGATATTCAATGAGAATCACTGGACACTCCTCTGTTTTCTTTCTTGTGATTAGCATTGTTCTAACTTTTGCAAATATTGCCTATGTTCGGTGTGACGATGCGGAGTTTCTTATGTAACACTCGTAAGTCTCAATTACGACAGACAGCTAAACATTTATGCGGAGTTCAATGCTTTACTAAAATTTGATTCATTGGAGAGGAATTATAGAGGAATTACTTGATATCAGTTTTTTTTTAAAATTTAATCTTTGTGGTTTTATTCTGTTGCATGTGTGACGTATGTGACATGTGAGCTGATATGTTTTACAAAGAATATTTGCAATTTTTGTGAAATTTTTCAAGCTTGTATATTTTGTTCATCTTATCACTTTTTTCAATTTTTATAATTTCGTCAATTTTGTCAATTTCATTAATTTCGTTAATTTTGTCAATTTTGTTAATTTTCTTAATTTTGTTAATTTTGTCGATTTTATCAATTTTGTTAATTTTGTTAATTTTGTCAATTTGATCAATTTTATTAATTTTGTCAATTTTGTCAATTTTGTCAATTTTGTCAATTTTATTAATTTTTTGTCAATTTCGTCAATTTTGTTAATTTTATCAATTTCCTCACTAGTTTCATAATTAACAAGATTATTAAAAATATTTCCTACGTTGTAATGTTACAATGTAACATTCTCTATTCTAAAATTTTTTAAATTGTACCTAATATAACCTAATCGTATCCAATATCGTAGGTTCACACACTTATCCCCCTGCGATCGACACTTACGGCAATTTAAAGCCACTAAAATCCCGGTACGGATAAAAATCGATCCGAGGTACAATCTGTTCGATGATCCTTACCTGGACACGCGCGACGAAATCTGACGAGATACACCGGTGAACGAATTGACGCGTGCATGCGTGTGCGTTTCCTGTACGTGTAGGCTCGTGCGGACCACGTGGCCAAACAATAGGACGATTCTAATTGGGCTTTTGGACGTGGCCGGTCGATGACAAAAAACCTGGACAAAAACGGCGACGAGAAGGGGCTTATCCGTGGAACAACCCTGTCGCGAACGGGTCGGGGGATGAGCAAGAGAACGGGCTTTTCTCTCGCGTGCTCAGGATGGGGTTAACTCTCGCGATACAACCACCAGAAGGGGGGCCGCCACGAGTTTCACGGACCGTGATGAAATTTTAAAGAGACACCGGTGCGTCGGGATCAACAAGCTGTTACATAATTATGATCGTTTGCATTAATCACTCGGTTTCGGTGAAATGCGGTTTCGGTCAGGATTAACCCTTCGAAGTCTCTTAACGCCAACTGCG